AGGGCCTCGGGGTGGGGCGGGGGAGTTGGGTTTTCTGTGGTCAGGTTGGCAGCTCTTGCGAGGTCTGGCCTGCCCAGAGTCCTATGCTGCTCTGGGCACTGGCGTCCCTTCAGCTGGGCTCCTACCCAGCCAAGCCCCCAAGGGCTCTGATGGCCACAGGCCTCACCCTGTGGGCACAGAGCTCACGTGGGCTGTTTGCCAGCAACAGTCACAGCACGGGCCCCCCAGCCTCCCGGTGCCACTGCCCCTCTGGCTTTGTCCAGCCCCGGGGCAACTCCCTGCTCTGGGATGGGCCCTTTGGGGTCTGCCCTGGCCCTGTACTCAGCTGCCTGCATCCCCACTCTGAGCTGTGTCCCCAAACTTGGCTGCCTATGCCCCCATGCTGAGCTGCGGCCCCACGCCTGGTTCCTACGCCCCCACACCTGGTTCCTACGCCCCCACGCTGCGCTGCGGCCCAACGCCTGGTTCCTACGCCCCCACACCTGGTTCCTACGCCCCCATACTGAGCTGCGGACCTACTGGTCCCAGGCCCGGCTGCCTACGCCCCCACACCGAGCACTGGCTCCACCGGCCCCACACTCAGCTACCTATGCCCCCACACTGAGCACTGGCCCCATGCTTGGCTGCCCGTGTCCTGCGCTGAGCCCAAGGCTCCTGGTCCCTAAGCCCATTAGCAGGGCTCTGGCTGGATTCACCTGCTTTGCATCACCCCAGCACAACACCCTGCCCCTTTTGTGGAGCCCTTCCCAGCTGGGCGGTCACCCTGGCTCCTTGACACCCCTACGTGGGGTCAGGCCTGCTGCAAGGAGCAAGCCCTGGCTGCATCATTCACAGGCTCTGGCTGCCCCTCTGGCCAGCGGCCCCTGCTGCTTTGGGCCCCAGGTGGGCTGAGCCCACAGAGCCAGCTGCAGGGGCTATTCCAGGGATATCCCGGGCCTGCCCCATGGCCTAAGTGGGCAAGGGTCTGCAGGGGTCACTGGCTACAGGACATTTCCTGCTGTCAGTCCCTTCAGTATCCAGCCAGCCACTGCTGCCTGAAGCTACCTACCTGTCATGGCTCTGCAGGCCCAGTGCCCCTATGGGGCATCAACAGGCTGGCCCCAACCTTAGGGCCTCACTATGCCAGGAGGGGAAGCCACTCGGCTTCTGTGCCCTGTGGGACCAAACCTCGGCCCCTCCTGACCCCCGCTGGGCAAGTTCATCTCAGTGGGACTCTAAGGGAGACATGTAGCCCAGAGGGGGCTTGGCCCCCCAGCATGTCTGGATCCCAGAAAATGGGGAAAGGGCAGGCCAGTTTGTTAGGCCGCTGGCCCCAGTGTGGCCAGGCCTGGGCAGTCCCAAAGCTCTGGATCCCCTCTTTTGCACCAGCTCAGGCGGGTCCAGCCTGTTAACAACCCTGCATCTGGCCCCTCCTCCAGCCTTTGTCCTCCAACTAGCCACACAGCGCTGCCATCTTGGGGGGCAGGGAGGGGGAGCCATGGATACTAGCTGCTAGAATCCAAATGTCCCAGCAATCAGGGTGCCCATTGGCATCTCAGCCTCACCAGGGACATGACAACTGGGACTCTGGCTTATCCCCCACTACTAGTTAACAATGGAGCATGTGGAGAAACTGAGGCATGCACATCAGTCATAGCAGCTATTACAGAGAATGCCCCCTCCATCACTCCCAGCCCCGCTCTAACCCACTAGACTCCCACTTCCAGCCCCAAATTGGGGAGAACCCAGGAGTCTGGGCTCCCAGCCACCCTCTCCCCACAAATTGAAGAACAAAAGAACGGCCATATTAGGTCAAACCAAAGGTCCATCTAGCCGACGGTGGCCAATGCCAGGTCCCTGAGTGGGAATGAACAAAACAGGGACTCATCCAGCGATCCCTCCCCTGTCGTCCATTCCCAGCGTCTGACTGACAGAGGCTGGGGACACCCTCCCTGCCCAGCCTGACTACCAGCCATCGATGGACCCTGTGATGGGTGGGAGAGATGCTCTCCTTTTCTAAACATCCCAGGATTCAGTGACAAAAGGGTTAAACCCAGGTAGCTAGGAAGTGTTGGTAGGGAGCCAGGAGAACCAATGGGAAGAAAGTGTTGATATTTCTTTGTGGGAGTTAGTTTTTTAAAGTAGGAGCCATAGAACCGTAGAGCTGGAAGTGACCTCAGATCATCAAGTCCAGCCCCCTGCTCTAGACAGGACCAATCCCAATTAATCAACCCAGCCAGGGCTTTGTCAAGCCGAGACCTAAACACCTCTAGGGATGGAGACTCCACTACTTCCCTAGGTAACCCATTCCAGTGCTTCACCACTCTCCTAGTGAAATAGTTTTTCCTAATATCCAACCTGGACCTCTCCCACCACAACTTGAGACCATTGCTCCTTGTTCTGCCATCTGTCACTACTGAGAACAGCCTCTCTCCATCCTCTTTGGAACCTCCCTTCAGGAAGTTGAAGGCTGCTCTCAAATCCCCCCTCACTCTTCTCTTCTGCAGACTAAATAGACCCAACTCCCTCAGCCTCTCCTCGTAGGTCATATGCTCCAGCCCCCTAATCATTTTGGTCACCCTCCACTGGACCCTCGCCAATGCATCCACAACCTTCCTGTAATTGGGGGCCCGGAACTGGACACAATACTCCAGGGCTACGTCTAGACTGGCCCCGTCTCCGGAAGAGGCATGCAAAGCAGGCAAGTCAGAATAGGGAAATCTGCGGGGGATTTAAATAAACATGGCCGCCACTTTTTTTCCGGCTTGGGGAAAAGCCGGAAAAGAGCGTCTAGACTGGCGCGATCCTCCGGAATAAAGCCCTTTTCCGGAGGATCTTTTATTCCTACTTGCAAGTAGGAATTTTTAAGGTCTCTTGCAGGCCCCCAGCTCCTGCACTTGAAGTGCGAGAGTGGGACACAGCTTTGACAGACCTATTCTTCATGAATGTATGTAGTTCTTTTTTGAACCCTATTAAAGTCTTGATCACAGCATCCTCTGGCTAGGAGTTCCACAGGTTGACTGTGCGCTGCGTGAAGAAATCCTGCCTTTGGTTTGTTTTAAACTTGCTGCCTATTCAGTTCTTTGGGCAACCCCAAGTCCTTGTGCTCTGAGGAGGAAACAACATATTTCTCCAAAGGCGTTTTGTCTTTATTAGTTCATGGGGGTGGTTTAAACCATTTAGTACAGAATGGAGGGAGGGGTCATAAACAAATCCACTCACTGGGGAACACTCACGGCAGCACCCCCATGACTGTGCAGTGGGGATGGGGCTGAATTAGAGGAGGCAGGGTTAGCCTCTCTTGGCTCACCCTGCCAGGCTGTGGGTCACTGGCTGGTTATAGGGTTAGAGTACGGGGAGAGGGCAGCACTGCCAAGGTAACCCCACCCACACCAGGCTGAGCAGCTCCCAGCCCCCCCCCTTTGTTACAGGGTTAGGAGGTCAAAGGTCATCTCTCCCAGGGAACTCCCAAAGTCACAGTAGAAGTTAGTGCAATAAAATCACTGTCCTCCACCTGGGGGGGAGGGGTCAGCAGAGGGTGGTCGCCTGACCCCATAGCACCCCCCCCCCGTAGCCACACACCCACCCATCCTCACATGCCCTGGGCGGGGCCCGCCCCTCTAGCGGGGGAAGCACAGACCCCTCCGCCCAATCCAGCCATGTATATATCCCCCCCACCCCAGCCCATGGGACATGCTGACCAGGATGGTCAGACAAGCAGGCTGGGGGGGGTTGTCCTTTAGCCCCTCCCTACTGCCCTTGGCACCCCCTCCCAACAGGGGATCCCTGGGCAGGATGAGGTGTTTTAATGGGGTTAATGAAGGGTTAAAAAGTTAGAAATCTTGCTCAGCTTTAAAAGCTTTATAGAAAAGCCCCCTCCCCACACACATGGGGGGCAGAAGGGAGGGCTCCCCTCCCATTCAGCAGGGCTGGCAATTTTATGCCCCACACTGACTCCTGTGAGGGCAAAGTCAGGTAGTGATGTCACTTGTGGTGCTGGTGATGTCAGCAGGGCCCCACCCCATGTCCCACCAAGGCGGTCACAGAGCATCAGCAGATGGAGGCCTAGCCAAGGAGAGTGATGTCATACCAGGCGTGATGGCAACCGTGGCCCCATCTCATCCAGGGCACAGTGAGGTCACTGGAGAGCAGCTGTTACCTCACTTGGGAGCACAGATGCAATTGGCTGCTGCCATGTCACAGGCTTGTCCCCTTGAGGTCCCTGTTGGATGTCACTGTACCCACCTGGTTGCCATTGACAACCTCATTATGAAGTCCCCGGGCCTATCTTCCCGCCATTGGTGGCCCCATTGTGATGTCACACAGACCTGGTGATGTCACAGCCCAAGTGTCTCAGCATCGGTTGCCAGCCACTGCTCCCATCCTGCCCCTCCCTGGGAGCGCACTGTCCAGGAGGGAGCCAGGCACCCGGGGGTGGGAGGGGGCCCCTCCTTCCGCTCCCCATTGCCGTACTGGGGGGGTGGGCGCTCAGCGTAGGGGGGGTAAGGCCCCAGCCGGTAACCGTCCATCAGGCCTGGGCCGAGGCGGGCAGGGG